TAGTATTAGACCTTATTCTTGCTCAGGTATCATATTTCATTGCAATTTTTTGATCATATCAATCACAATGCAGTGACCATTTTTACATACATAATATGCATAAGCAACTATCAGTATTTATATGTCAAACATCATTAAGAAAATTGCTTTTGCTCCAATAATATTCACTTTGGAATATTTTTCAGTGTTTTTGATTGGAGTCATAAATATGCTAGTTTTCAAACACGTTAATCAGTGATTGTATTAATGTACGTTATGTACTCTTACCAAACCATGGAAATCCTTACAGACTTTCTCCCTGAAATGTCTTTCCCTGCATTGCTCAATGGTACAGAGCTCAGGATCTGTAAAAGAAACTGTCTGCTAATATGGGGGCATGATATTTAACTCTAAGGGCACTCTTCACAAATTCACGTTCCTGGCACAAATTTTCGCACACCAGGAATGCATAATTGAAATCTGAGCTCCGTGATCAGCAGCCCTTACAGGATTCTTTATCCCAGACATTGCAGCTTTAGCTATCAGCATAACAGTTCCAAAGCTTTGTTTTCTGCATCTGGATTATATTTTCTGATTCCCTTTCTGTCTCATTGCTATTCCCCGACCCTCGCACTCTCTCCCTGCCTTTGTCTCCACATCACACTCACATACAGACAAACCCAGTGCTTCTCCATCTCTCTGATTCCCTCTGTCAATGCAAATCTTTTTTCTTATTCTTTCCAAATACCCTGCTACCTTTCATTCCCTCCTAACCTTCCTTGTTTATATGGAGAGACGAGAAGGAGGGAACACGGCTTAATAATCAGCTGGCTCCCATTTAAGACAGAGATAAAGAGACATTTTTATTCTCTCTGAGGGCCATCCGTCAGTGGCATTTTCGTCCCCAGAGCACAGTGCAGGTAGGGTCACTGCATATTTTTGAGGCAGTTAGTTCGATTCTTGATTGACAGGGGAGTCAAAGAGTTTGATGGAAATGAGAATTGAGGATACAAGTAGATCCACCATAATCTTATCGAATAACTGAGAGGCTTGAAAGGCTGAATGGTTAACTCCTGCTGATAATTCAAATGTTTATCATAGAATCCCCACAGTGTGAAAGTAGGCCATTCTGCCCATTGAGTCCACACTGACCCTCTGAAGAGCATCCCACCTTGATACACCACCTGTAACCCAGCATTTCCCATGGCTAACCCACCTAACCTGCACATCCCTGGACACTATGGGCAATTTAACATGGCTACACCAACTAACCTGCACATCTTTGGACTGTACGAGGAAACCAGGGCACTTGGAGGAAACCCATGCAGACACGGGGAGAATATGCAAACTCCACACAGTCACCTGACGATGGAATCAAACCCAAGTCCCTGGTGCTGTGAGGCAACAGTGCTAACCACTGAGCCATTGTGTCACCTCCCCATATATTCTTTCAGCCCTTTGTTCTCTTTCATTCCCTCTTTAAACAATATCTATCTCTAACCTCTAGCACTTCCTCAGTCCCTGTCTTTGTTGTACGATCTTTGTTCTTTTATTTCTCATCTCTCCTCTAAATTTCATTCCTTGTTTCTCGTTTTCCAACTCAATTTTGCTCACCCTCTCTTTCACAGCATCTTTGTTTCATTCTTCCCACTAGCTCTCATTTTGTGAGAGCTGTTTGTTTCCTCTCCACCTATCCTCTCCTCTATCCCTCTTCTATTCGCCTCCCACTCTCTCCCTATTTATTTCAGAACCCCCTTCCCCTCCCCCTTTTCTGATGAAGGGTCTAGGCCCGAAACGTCAGCCTTTCTGCTCCTATGATGCTGCTTGGCCTGCTGTGTTCATCCAGCCCTGCACCTTGTTGTCTCTAGCTCTCATTTTGTGACTACTTTCCTCTCATCTTCCTTTTCATTATAATTTTTTTGCTTATTTGTCTTTCTCATTTGTTTCTCCCTATTGCCAGTTCCCCTCTATTCTTCCTCATTGTCACTTTTTCATTTATGCTCACTCTCACGCTGTTTTTCTGTTTATTATCTTCATATTTTCTCTTTTTCTTCTTTTTCAATTTTCCTTTCCACATCTCTCACCTTTTCTCCTTTACCTCTGTCTTTCATTCCCTTAGTCTTACTCTCTTTCTCCAATTCAATCTCACGTCATGGGCATAATGAATTTTCTCTCATATGGAAAGAGGTGTTTATTTTATTACCCTTGGTGTGTGTATTGCAAATATATCATGCAGTAGCTAGCTTTAAAGAGGTTAAAAATAAAGAAGGTCATTTATTATCAGACTCTTACCATAAATTAATGCAATGTCCCACACTCAGTCTCATGCAAACCCATACACGCACAGTCATACGACATACACCGATAGAGTACAGTTGAAAGATAATGAACTTTTATAGATTACACTTAACACAGTCTCTGTTTAATTTTGGGTTCTGGTCCCCGACATTGCAAGTCTGTGCTTTTTTAAATGAGTTTGATACTCTGAAGTTTCAGTGAGAATTTTATAAAGCAAAGGGCTCACAGCAGGTTGCAAGGTCAGTTGCCTGTTGTTGAGGTTCTAGGAAGTTGGTTCTCAGATGAACTTGAGATTGGAATAAAAACCAAAAGAACTGCAGATGCTGTAAATCAGGAAAAAAGACAAAGTTGCTGGAAAAGATCAGCAGGTCTGGCAGCATCTGTGAAGGAGAAAACAGACTTAAAGTTTTGGGTCCGGTGACCCTTCCTCAGAACAGAGATTGGAATAGGCTGGGGAAGAGTCCTTCTTTCTTTTTGGATTCATACAAAAAAAAACTCACCATATGACTTTTCGCATGTTAAAGGTATTTTCAAATAAAGTGTTGATTTCATATATACTGTTGTGGGTTGAAACTCTAGAGGCCCAGCAAATCTGGTATTGACATGGAAGCCATCAGAATACTGTAGGAAGTTGATAGTGATTGTGGACATTTGATCTTTCCTTTGGTAAATTATGAAACATGGAGTCATTCAGACTGGACACTCCACAAGCTTTTTGTCTTGAGCCATTGGTGGCTGTGAGGTACTGCTCAGTTATGTCCATTTTTAATTAAGTATTTGCAAGAGACCTGACCCTGTCTGTAGCCCAAACACCAAAAGTCACCCTCTATGTGTCAGCCATCTTAACAATTTATTTATGTCTGATGTTTAACATAAGAACCAGGAGCAGGAGTAGGCCATCTGGGCCTTCGAACCCACTCCACCATTCAATAAGATCACGGCTGATCTTTTCATGGCCTCAGTTCCATTTACCCACCCTCTCACCATAACCCTTCATTCCTTTACTGTGCAAAAAATTATCTATCTTAGCTTTAAAAACATTCAATGAGGAAGCCACAACTATTTCACTGTGCAGGGTATTCCACAGATTCACAACCCTTTGGATGAAGACATTCCTGCACAATTCAGACCCAAATCTACTACCTCTTATTTTGAGGCTATGACCTCTTGTTCTAGTTTCATCTGCCAGTGGAAACATCCTGCCTGCTTCTATCTTATCTATTCCCCATAATAATTTTATATGTTTCTATAACATCCCCCCTCATTCTTCTAAATTCCAATTAATATAATCCTGGTCTACTCAGTTTCTACTCATAAGTCAACCCTCTCAACTCCAGAATCAACCAAGTGAATCTCCTCCTCAAACCCTCCAGTGCCAATACTTCCTTTCTCAAGTAAGGAGACCAAAACTGCATACAGTAGTCCAGGTGTGGCCTCACCAGCACCCTATACAGCTGCAACATAACCTCCCTGCTTTTAAACTCAACCCCCCTAGCAA